CACACACACACACACACACACACACACACACACACACACACACACACACACACTCCTATCATTGCTCTACAGAAGGAGTTGGACTGGTGAGTTGATCAGACTCTACTTGTTCTGTATTTTTACAGAAGTACCTCTGGGCAACAACATCTGTTCTAATTATTTGAGTCTCCCGTTCAGAAATAGGAGTCCAAATGATGTTCTCCACTTGAAAGGCATATTTTCATTTGCCAAATGAAAAAGGCTGATTCCTGGAGAAAGTGAGCGGGTAGAGAGCTGGAGGCAATATAGATTCCTGCAATGACTTTGGATGTTTGCTCTGTGCATGTGCATGTATTAAGTAGTGAGTGGTATTGTATGGATTGATTCAAATAGCATAAATGAAAAAGAAAAGCACCTAGCTGTATGTAGTGGGACAGTGTGTGTGAGGAGCACACAGTGCAACAGAGACACATCTGGGGTGTGTAAGTGTGATTTCTGCCAGGCGGGGAGTTGCTCAGAGCATCTGACTTTTCGTTTTAAATTAAGAACTTGGAAATTAGTGCACAGCTGAGTTGAAAATGAAGACTTTTGGCAGTAAATGCACCTTTGTCATTTCACAATCTGCCGGATCTGGCTCATATTACTGGACTTGGGAGTAGACGTGTGAGCGCTTTTTTTAAACCCTTAAGAAATTAATCTCTACAAAAAAGTGATGCTGCATTGCAGGCTAATACTACTAGTTTATGTGCAGTAGGTCATCCGCTAACCAGAAGGTTCCTGGTTCAATCCTCAACTCTCTAACTTTAGGGGAAGATAGTGAACCCTAAAATACCTTGATGACTGGCTGGGCTGCTCAGTCTCAGAGGAGTAAATGGTAAATGGTTGTATTTATATAGCGGAGAAGGAGTAGTGCCCTGCTTTTCGGAGGAACATCCAAGACCTGGGTCAAAAGAAGCAAAAGATATAATATAATATAATTTATATATTTTGTAACTGATGTCTGTTGATTATGTTCAAAATCAAATTATTCAATTAGTCTCTAGGACAGCTTTCTTCCACCTGCGCAATATTAAGAAAATTAGAAACATCCTGTCTCAGAAATATGCTGAGAAACTAGTCCACGCATTTGTTACCTCTAGACTGGATTACTGTAACTCTTTATTATCAGGATCCCCCAGGAAGACTGTGAAAAACCTCCAGTTGGTCCAAAATGCTGCAGCATGAGTGCTGACAGGAACTACAAGGAGAGATCATATTACTCCTGTCTTAGCTTCTCTACATTGGCTCCCTGTACAATTCAGAGTATAATTCAAGATCCTGCTCCTCACACAAGCCATTAACAATCAAGCCCCTTCATATGTCAAATACCTGATAACACCATATTATCCAAACAGATCACTCTGTTCCCAAAACACAGGCTCTCTTGTGGTTCCAAGAGTCTGTAAGAGTAGAACAGGAGGTAGAGCATTCAGCTACCAGGCTCCTCTCCTGTGGAACCAGCTCCCACTCTGGGTTCTAGAGTCTGTAAGAGGAGAACAGGAGGTAGAACCTTCAGCTACCAGGCTCCTCTCCTGTGGAACCAGCTCCCACTCTGGGTTCAGGAGGCAGACACCATCTCTGCATTTAAAGTTAAAAACCTTTCTTTTTCCTCCCATAGTCTCTCTCTCTTTCTCTCTCTCATTGCAGGTATCTCTGACTCCAGAACTGCAGGACAACAACAATTATTATTATTACTATTATTAACAACAATACTTCAGTAATTATTAATTATACGAATTGTTACTATTATCATTAATAATCAATAACTCCTTTACACTGTTATTGCTTACATTTTAACTAGTCAGATCTGATACTTGATGGTGCACAAGTGTTCCCAGTCTCTCTCTTCCCCTCCCCCCCCTCCCCACTATCTATCTCTCTTTTCTCCCTTCTATTCCACTCACTTCTCCTCTCTTCCCCACTTTTCTCCGCTCACCCCAACCGGTCAAGGCAGATGACCCCCCACATTGAGCCTGGTTCTTCTAGAGGTTTCTCTTTGTTAATGAGGGAGTTTTTCTCTCCACAGTCATCAAAGTGCTGCTCATTGTGGGAACTGTTGGGTTTCTCTATATTTAATAAGATTTAAGGTCTTGACCTTCTATGTAAAGTGCCTTGAGATAATGTATATTATGATTTGGCACTATACAAATATAATTGAATTGAATTGAATAGTTAGGGTTAGGGTTATTGTTATTCTTTGGCTGCATTCCATCATCTCAAGTCAATAAGGGGCAACACAGACACACACACACACAGACACACACACACACACACACCATTTAATATCTTCTCCATGCTAAAGATTAACCACGACATTTAAATTTTTCAATACTTGAGTTCTTCTGAGAAAATACAACTTAATCAATCTCAATGATTATATAGCCAGGTCATCAAGTATTTCAGAATGTCAGTACATTGTGGCATCACTGTTGGGTTTGGTTAGAGTGCAAAGAATCACACAACTGAATACATTCAACTAACCATATATGCTAGCTGCATGTTTGAGATATCCAGTAATGCTGTGTCTACTGACAGGGACAGCTCCACAAATGTGATGGACACTGTCCACCACACAGCAGGTCAATAATGCTATTCACATATTAATTTCACAATTACAATACAAATCTGTCCCTGCAGAGGAGCTTTTCTTCACTGAGACAATGACAAATTATGTGACACTGTCACTGTATATTACTGTGTCAGCTATTTTTAAATAATAAAAATGACTAAGATGGGTGACTAATAAAATTCATGGTTTCTTTTTTTAAGGTCTGGTTCAGCAATCGAAGGGCCAGATGGCGAAAACAAGCAGGAGCCAATCAGCTAGCGGCATTCAACCATCTGTTACCAGGTGGATTTCCTCCCACAGGGATGCCAACCCTTCCCACTTATCAGCTGCCAGAGTCTAGCTACCAAACCAACACTCTGTCTCAAGGTAGAGCACATAACACTTTGACGCTGGTTAGGGACATATGTTGAAAATGTGTTGCTCCGTGTTGTAGTGTGTAAAGTGTGTGGGACTCTTGAACTAGTGAAAAATATGGCCTGCAAGCTATGCATAGTTAATTTGTGTCTTAGTGCACTGCATTTTAAGAGGCCACATAATAGATAAAGAAGATTCTGGTTCATGACTGTTAATTTGCTCTCCTTAAATGTTTTAAATCTTTTTAAACAAAATGGAATAGTAGTGTTACATATGATAAATTATAGCAGAGTACACAGGTTAAAAAATAGAGTCTGCTTGCTGAATATTTTGTACACTGCTACTCTTTAAAACAGAGTTAATTGGGGATTTCTCGTATCAACATGCTAAAATGTTCTCTTGCAAGCTGTATATGTAGCAAAATAGTATAGTGCTCATCAGGGACATTCTACTCACAGAGAATGCAGCACTTGTGACTCACACTGTCGATGCAGTGCAGAGACTCTGTGTTCACTTTGCTAACAATTGCAAGAAGTGTGGGCTCACCACAAGCCTGAAGAGGACCAACTGTCCCCTCCAACAAAAATGTCTTCCTCGATGTTGTGGCCAAGTTTGCTCAACTGGGTTTCACAATTAACAATCAAGACACCATCATGGCTAGACTGACCAATAGGTTGTGGGAAAGTAAAGCACTGACAGAAGACACCAACTTTGGAAATTAATCAGGACTGTGTTCTCAGCATCATACTGTATGGAAGTGAATCCAAGATCTATATGAGGCAAGAGCTTAATGCCGTTTACACAAAGTGCCTCTAGTGCATCCTCAAAATAAGCTGGGACTTCTCAACTTCTCAGCATGCAGTCCCCTTTTAGTAAATGCCACCAGTTATGTCCAGGTCGTGTCTGATGCAAAACGGATGAGAGGCTAAAAGACATTTTGTTTGGAGAGCTGAACAATGGCAAGTGAGAGATCGCTGCATCACACACTTTTTAATGGACTGCCAACCTATATGGAGTAGGATGCAAACACAGCAGACCACAGTTTGAAGTGGTTTTGACTGTTGATTTGATCCGGAAATATCCTACACTCACATGATAAGGCAAATATGATGTGTAGCTCTCTTGTTACAAACATGTCAATCAGCAGATTTATGTTTTTCAGCTTTATTGGCACAAAATCGTGTAGCTAGTGGACTCACATACTCGGACACTCATGCATAGTCTCAGTAATTTTTTTCCACTCAACTGAACCAAATGATAGATACCAGGAAGAGCACCAGATTTCTCTCAAACCAAACCAAAGACATGCGTCATACGTAAAAGCTCCTCATTAACAGAAACCTATTATTTAGTTATAGTTCTACACTCCATTGGTACATTCTTCTTTTGTCCTTCTTCTATCCTTCTTTTCATCATTGTGGTGTGGTGTCAGTGTCAGAACCACATCTCCTGCCCTTTTGTTCACTTGAAAAATTGAGCATAGCATTATTTCAGGCAGGTGACAATGTCGAGCTCAGCCACAATCCAGTCCGTCAGCTGACAGCAGATCTGTATACCTGATGAGTCAGATGATTGTGTCCTTTGCTTTCAATTGGCAAAACTCTATTTAAGGTATCTAAACCCTACCCTGCTTCCTCTTCAAGCCATTTTCACAACCGACCCCCCTGCACCTACTTTTAATTCTGAATCTGACCTCATCACTGTTGT